TTTATTAAATTGGAACTTTAAGGATCATTTTGCCTTGGACTCTGATTTAATTCTACATGATACTTGGAACGCTGACAATATATATGAAAAGTAGTATTATACCCTGAGACCTCAAATGATCCCAAAGCAGTCTCCAACTGCCCCCCAATATTACCTCCAGGTCTTTTCTTTCTTACCTGCCCTGGAGATCCATCAGTTCCACCAGTACAAGGAGAGGAACCGATGAACAACGGTGATTCCATTTTGTTCCCTGGGAAGGAGAAAAATGAGATGGAAGCAAGAAAGAGATTAATTCCACATTTTGTAGTCTAAAGGCATGACTTCTTCCTGTCTTGTGGAGGACACCCCCATTTCTCTATCCCAGGGGTGTCAAACCCGCGGCCCACGGGCCAGATGCATCATGTGCTGGCCACGCCTACCCCTAGTTTAGCGGAGGAGGAGGAAGTCATGTGATGACGACATGACAATGCGAGTTTGACACCCCTGCTCTATTCTAACCTCAGCCTTCCATGGCCTTTCATGGGCTCCGTTTTTGGACCCAAGAATGAAAGAAGAGAAGGAACATGCCAGAAAGGAGAGGTTGTATTGAAGATGATCCAGCGGGGAGATGTGTGAGAATTTACTCAAAATCACCTATCAAAAAAGACCAAAGGTTGTTCTTGTCCTCTGAAAATAGAGAGAAGAATCTCAGGATAGATAAGCCAGAATGAAACCCAGGAAATCCCTAGAAGGCTTAGTTTTCCACAAACGGGGATCAAGGAAAGGCAGTATGTAGAGTGAAAGGAACAAATTTCTTTTGTGGGACTTTAGAATAAGAGAGTTGAAAAGAGCCTTGGAGGTCTTCTAGTCCACGTTCCTGTACAAGGGGGAGACCCTATACCAGTGATGGCGAACATTTTTTGGCTTGCGTGTCAAAACTGAGGGGTCGTGCATGGGCGAGACAAGCCCATAATGCAATGCGACAACCCCAGCGTGCATGCGCGCATGACTAGCATTCCCCCACATTTTTGGCATGCTTTTTTTGCCCTCCCCAGGCTCCAAAGGCTTTATAGGAACTTGGGGAGGGCAAAAACAGCCTCCCCTGCGCCCCCCCCCCCAGAGGCTTCAGGAGCTTCCCTGAAGTGTCCAGAGTGCAAAAAACCAGCCCTACTGGCAAACTGGAAGTGACTTTTGGTTTTCTCGTAGGGCCAGTTTTAGTCCTCTGGAACCTTCAGGAACCTTCAGGAGGCTTCCCTGAAGGCTCCAGAGGATGAAAATCGGCCCAACCTCCGATTTGCTCGTAGGGCCAGTTTTAGTCCCCCAAAGCCTTCAGGGAAGCCTCCTGAAGGTCCCTGAAGGCTTCAGAGGACTAAAACTGGCGCTACGAGCAAACCAGAAGTCAGTTCCCAAACTTCCAGTTTGCCCGTAGGGCTCCTGAAGCCTCCGGAGGGCCTTGGGGTGGGGGAGAGGCTGTTTTCACCCTCCACAGGCTCCTATAAAGCCTCTGGAGCCTGGGGAGGGTGAAAAATGGCCTCAAAAAAAGACCAAAGTTAGCTGGCCAGCGCGTGCATGCGTGCTGGCCAGCTGACAGGGCAACGCCTTGTGTGCCCTGACAAATGGCTCCGCGTGCCACCTGTTCGCCATCCCTGCCCTATATCCTTTCAGATGAATGGCCACCACCAACCTCCACTAATGGAGCACCCACAACTTCTGGAGGTAAGCCATTCCACTGGTTAATTGTTCTAATTGTCAGGAAATTCCTCCTTATTTGTAGGATGATGAGTTTCCATCCATTGCTTTTTTATCCTGCCTTCAAGTGCTTTGGAAAGTAGGTTGACCCCCTCATGGCAGTCACTTAAATACTGGAATACTGCTATCATGCAGTATTAGTCCTAAGCCTTCAAGTATGAAGAAGAGTTAACAATTTGTTGCTGGGTCACCTTCTAGAAGAGTGATGGCAAACCTTTTTGGCCCCAAGTCCTGAAAAGGGAGTGTGGGGTTAGCTGCCAAATGAGCATGTGTGCGCCAGGAAATGAATTTCTGGTTTCCAGCGCACTGGCCATGTAGTCTTCCAGTTACTGGTGCACATGCATGCGCAAGAATCAGCTGGCCGGTGCGCAATTGCACAACAGAAACCGAAAGACCACCTCTTCCAGTTTCCAGCACTGCCACACATGGCAAAAACAGCTGATCGTTGTGCATGCATGAGCGCCAGAAACACGGAAAAGGAACGAGCGACACAGCACATGTGTCAGGCCTACAATTATATTCCTTTTAGAATTTTGGCCTGCCACACTTTCTCTTATTTCATTATGCTGTTTCTTTAGTATAGTTGATGGGAGG